AAAGAATATCCAAGACTCCCCTGCAGACAAGTAGTCTAAAATTAGCAAAAAATCAGTATACTTAGCAATCAACACCCAGGATAAAATGATAAAAGAATATTAACCAATCAGCAATGTAAAATGGAGATCCAAATTCAGGCTACTCTCAATTATCTGTTTGATCTACTTAACCATATTTCTCCAAAACTATGTCAGATTTCTAAATTTAAATTTGTTTGCATTGGAAACAGTCTACCTGCAGAGTTTAGAAATTTTTCAATTTATTTCTCCAAAACCTACTTAGAGAATTGTTTTGTGCTTGCCATTAAGAACATTATTCTCTCCAATTTTTGAGAGTTTGTCAGATCTTTTGATTGGCATGTGACCTTCAAGATTTAAGTTGTAGAGCACTATGAGACAACTGGAGAACAGAACTACATAAATTTTATGGCATTATAATTCTCACCTCTCAAAATCTAGGAGAGGAATCTGTCTCTTCAAGTGTAGAATTTAAGTGCTTCTACTTTTCTTCTTTTTATAAAAAAAGTTATCTGTACAAAGTATTTTCAGGTTCCCCAAATCCTAGAGATTTCAAAACCACAACAGCCACAATTAAGATATGCAGTTAACATTTTCCAAAGGTACTCTTACGTGTACATGGAAAAAATACTCAATTCCAGGACTCAAAATGTGAAAAATCCAAAGTTCACTGTACAAAGATGCTCTCTTCATGCAATGAGGATTTTAAAATAACAAAGGGGAAATAATCCAGATAAATATAATACAGATTTCAGTTTGTGTCACTCTGTATGATTTCTCATCTGCTTGCTGCTAAGCTATTAACTTCTAAAGTAAATTCAAAGTAGATTTTCTAAGCTAAAAGAGCACTAGAAATAAATGTGCTACTACTTGGCAAAAAACCACAGAAGCTGATATTTACTTAAGTTTGTATTAGAAGAAAAGAGTTACTAAAGTATTTAAATAATATCATTCTGAAGCCAAAAACTGAGAGGAAATGCTCAGACTTAAACTGGAGTGGGGTGAGGTCGGAGACGTTAAGCAGAAAGCAAAATGTTTTAATGGAACGATGAAACATTTGGTACAATCTCAGACAGGAATTAATAATGAACTCCACAATGAGGGCATTTCAAAGAGAATTCCTTTATCTGTAAATAAAAGGTGGGGATGGGGTAGGTAACAGGTGGAACAAGACTGGCCATGTGTTAGTTAATTGTTGAAGCTGGGTGATGAGAACGTGGGGCTCAATTACACTCTCTCTACTTCCGTGTGTTTAAATCTTACCCTCATAAGAGGTTGAAAAAACCACCATTAGGTAAACTTTCATTTCAAGATTTCAACACCCTTATTTCACCTTTCCAATCAAACATTACTAGTAGAATGTCTTGATCATCAAACTAATTCTTCTAAGTATCAATATGAAGGGGTTTTCTCCTAGATTTTTTTCCCAGTTGTATCACAGAACCAAGGGATTTGATTGGAGAGGGAAGCCCTACAGAGAATTATACACTATGATGAACAATGGTACTAAATCCAAATCAATAAAACTCTGACATAAAGCTTAAAGGCAAATTTTACAAAGCAAACAGGGCAGTGAAGTAATTAGCATGTCACCTACCTTCCACAGTGGACACTTGAACAAGTCAAACAGACCCAGGGGCTTTTGTTGGATCGGCACACTAATAAAAAGAAAAATACACAATATACCAATTGTATCAGGTCATTTCCCAATTTCTCCCCATTATTCTGTGATTAAGTCAGAAATCCCATGGCTGCTTAGGTATACTGGACTCACAAACCCCTGCTTTGTGGATGCATTTACACAAAATGGCTGCCTAATTAAAGTTACATTGAAAAGAATTTAAATGCATGTCCGCAACAGCTGCGCGTTTTAATCGCTGACTCAATTCAAATAGCTTAACCATGTTAAACACATACATTTCTCCTTTATTACTTATTCCCTTTTACCACAGTCCCCGACAAGTTAATGACAGCCTATTTTCCCATTAAAAACGTTTTTTAAAGTCTAGTCTTTTAATCACATCTTTGCCGTGCAGGTCATATACCACTATAAATGACAACTCTTTCAGTTTATTTATTAAAAGGCACAACCTAAGGATACAATTAGGAAGACTAAGACTAGTTTTCCCAAAGTAATTCTCAGTTGCATAAAATGTATGACACAGCTGCACATAATTCCTGCTGATAGTATAATCAGGACATTCATTATTTTAATTTAAGTATTACAGGAGTGAGGCAAGCAAGAAGGGGTATGGAAATTTTTAAAATATTGATTTAAATTTTGCTTGCTGTTTACTCATTTACTTTTTTACCTTTTAAAAAAGTCCTGTACATGTAGCAATGATTTTCAAAAGGGAGGAATATAAAAATCACCTGGGAAGCTTTTTCAAAGCACCTAAGTTCTACTCAGCCAAAAATACCTACACTGAGGTAGGGAAAGATGTACATTTTGAGCAAAGCAGCTTGCCACATGACTCCCTAAAACAACCCCTTGAGAACCACTATTCAGCCTCCTAGGGGCATGCCCGGGAGCACCACAGTAAAACCACACACTCAGGATCATAATAAACCTGGCACACAGTATGTGCTCAATAAAATTTGTGGAAAAGAAAGTTTAAATGTATTAGTTTAGGATACCAGCTCTTCCAAGATCTAGTCCCTGCCTACATCTCTCTTGCTTTATCGCACATCACAACAGGCCTTTCTCACTGTTAAAAACAATTAACCAAAACTGGAAATAAGGTCAACTGAGAATTCTTAAGTCCTTTCAATGTACGCCGAAACATTGTTTAATAGCTCCTCCCAAAGATATTTAATTATGGTGCCTAATTGTTTGACCTGTTGTTTACTATTGAGTAGGACCCAAATTCTATAAAGTTACAGGTAAACTTGTAGATTTTTAATTTGCAAAGATAATTTCTGTCCAGCAGACTCCAAAGGTCATGGTTTTACTACCCTGTAGGATATTAGCCAATTTTGTATCTAGTCTAGCAATTTTATTTCAATGCTCTTTCTTCAGTGTCTATATACACTCGGTTCCCAAATCCTCTTGGAGCCTGCTTTACTATCCCACTGGTTCCCTCATTAATGAGTTACTCTTCAAATATGTTCATTCTATATTCATATGACAGAGGCGGGCTGAGGAGAGGAGGATAGGAGTGTACAGTGACATAATGTCCAAGGGACTCTCCTGTTTGGCCTGCACAGAGCTTCAACTGTTTTTGCATATAAAAGCTTTGAGTGATAAAATCCCCCTCCAGTTAGCCAAAGGCCCTCCCTTCCCTTAGTGCATTCACACATTTACATTAACTACCAGGGCCATCCTTGGAGGTGTTTGAGTTTTTTACTCAATTTGGTCTACTTTTGTCATATGTGCACGTAAGCCAATATGACAGAAGGCCTAGAAGCGTACCTACCAAACTGCTAACAACAATTATTTTAGATAGCTACGTGGAAAGGCTACTGTGAGG